TGACGATGTGTATCTGGTTGAGAGGCCCAAGAAATTCACCATGCCTTCTTTCACCTAGTTTGATGGAACAGGGGATCCTTCTCGGCACCTAGATCATTATGCTCAAAAGATGGCTTTGGATGATTGTAATGACCCTTGGTTGTGCAGAGTTTTTCTTACCAGTCTGACAGGAGCAGCACTAGAGTGGTTCAGGAATAGACCGTATAAATCCATCCCGGATTATGTAACTCTATGCACCATGTTCCTGGCACAGTAGTGCGGAAATAAGAAGCAAAAGAAGAGTATTGCCAGCCTCTTCACCGTAAGGCAGAAAAGGGGGGAAACATTGCAGGATTTCTTATCAAGATTCAACATGGAGGCATCAGAAATAGTGGATTGTCATCCCGCAACTGCTATAGAGACATTTAAACTCGCAATAATTCAGGGGACGAAGTTCCACACTTCCCTAGTCAAGTATTCTCCTCCCGACATGCAGACTCTAAATGCCAGGGCCCAGATCTACATTCGGCTTGAGGAAAATATAGCCCACCGAGCGCAGCACGCTACCCTCGTGACAGTGGAAAACAAGCCTCAAGAAAGAATCCCAACTCCAAAGATTCAAAAAAGCCAACGTTCCTCAACGCTGGTCACCTAGGCACCTGAAAAAAGGCAAAGGGTAGAGGAAGGATTTACACCTCTCTGAACTACCTTGGCTCGGCTCTTCCAAGAGAATAAGACGAAGTTCACAACTCCGTAGCCAATAAAGCAACCCCTGGAGCAAAGGGACAAAAGCAAGCATTGCACTAATCATCGAGATTATGGGCATTCAACTAACGATTACCGATCCCTCAGGCGACAGGTGGAGAATATGATCGCCAGAGGTGAGTTGACGGATTACCTCATGACAAAGGAGCATGCAAAGCCCCGCGAGGTCTATCCCCGCAAGGTAGAAGATATGCAAGTTAAAGTCATCCATGCAATACATGGCAGGTCTAAAGATGATCAAGAGTCCGAGGAGGTGTACAGATCCAGATTGAGGGCGATCCACAAGCTCAGGAAGATATCCTCGGTCAATGCTATCAATTCTGGTAGCATTAGTATTGGATTCGGAGATGGTGACCTATCCAGAGTGCAACTCCCCCACGAGGATCCATTGGTCATCAGTTTTTTAATGGCCAATTGTATGATCAGGAGGGTTTTGGTAGATCCAGGAAGTAGCGCTAACATAATCATAAAGACGGTTTTTGATCAGTTAGAGATCTCGTCATCATCTATTCGACCTACCTCCAGCCCGTTGATGGGATTTGATGGCACAAGGGTAGATCCCTTTGGAGTAATAGACTTGTCCGTAACCACGGCGAAAAAGACTCTGAAGGAGAACTTTGTTTTAACAGAGATCCATCTTCTTACAATCTCATCATGGGAAGAGGCTGGATACATCGGATGAGAGGAGTTTCGTCCACCCTCCACCAGGTGATGCGGTGCTTATCTCCGGACGGGAAAAAAGTAATTAATCTGTGGGGCGATCAAGTCGCAGCGAAGGCATGCTATATACTGACACAAGTTGAGGCGAAGAGGATGTCGACTCAATAGCAACCAGGTGTGGCTTCCAAAAGTGGACCCAAATAGCAATTATAGAGCCCTCTGCCCAAGTATCTTAAGGGAAAGGAGGAAGAGGAAATTGCGAAGCCCACCGAGGAGACCCTTGAAGCCATGGAAGTTATCCTCGGTGACCCTCAGAAGGTTACTTATCTAGGCTCTTCTTCCACATCCGAAGAAAAGGAGGCATTAATTGATGTTATCCGGAGCAATGCAGATGCCTTTGCATGGGATCACTCGGACATGGTAGGGATCGATCCCATAGTTTCCTGCCATAGCCTGAAGGTGGATCCGGAGTTCAAACTGGTCAAGCAGAAACACCGAAGGTTTGCCCCTGAACGCAATCACATTATAGCTGAAGAAGTGAGCAAATTGTTGCAAGCAGGTTTCATTCGAGAAGTGCAATATCCGCAGTGGTTGTCGAACGTGGTAGTTGTACAAAAGAAGAATGGAAAATAGAGGGTTTGTGTAGATTATACCAACCTCAACAAAGCCTGCCCTAAAGATAGCTACCCTCTGCCCAAGATAGACCAGATGGTTGATGCTACCACCGGCTACGAGAGGCTGACATTCCTAGATGCATACTCAGGATACAATCAGATTCCTATGAACCCCGAAGATGAAGAAAAAATTGCTTTTATTACAGAAAAAGGGGACTTATTGTTTACAGGGTCATGCCTTTCGGACTGAAGAATGCTGGAGCTACTTATCAACGCCTTGTCAACAAGATATTCGATAATCTGCTGGGAAAGATAGTTGAAGCATATATAGATGACATGGTGGTTAAAAGTGTGAAGAAAAAAGATCATCTGAAGCATCTACAGGAAGTTTTCAATACTTTGAAGAAGTACAACATGAAGTTGAATCCATCCAAGTGCTCATTCGCGGTATCATCAGGTCAATTCATCGGCCACATAGTGAATAAAAGAGGGATAGAGGTAAGTCCGGCTCAGGCTAAGGCCGTCATCCAGAATCAAGAACCAAAAAATCGCAAGGAGGTGCAGGTTCTTACTGGTCGGATCGCAGTACTCAGCCGGTTTATATCCCGATTGTTAGATAAATGCAAACCATTCTTTGATGTTATACGATCCAAGAATAAAGATATATGGGGACCTCAGTTGCAGGAAGCCCTCAGTCGATTGAAAGGTTATATGGCTGAACCACCAATTCTATCCGCTCCAAAACCCGGGGAGGTTCTTATTATGTATTTGGCAATTTCTAATACAGCGACAAGTGCAGCATTGATTAGAAATGAAGGAAAGAGGCAATATCCAGTCTTCTACACAAGTAAGACCATGACAAATGCGGAGATGCGATATAGTAAAGCAGAAAAAAGTCATCTTAGCTTTGATCTACGCTAAGAGGAAGCTTCGGCATTATTTTAAATCTCATAGCATTGTGATACTCACCAACTATCCTACACGGGGTATACTCTCTATGCCCGATTTATCTGGGGGAATTACCAAGTGGGCTATCAAGCTTAGTTCCTTCGACATCACTTATGAGCCGAAGGTGTCGCACAAAGGACAAGCCGTAGCGGATTTTCTTCTCGAGTATGAAGATACTCCCGAAGAGCCGGCACACCCTGAACCACAGTGGGAACTTTGAGTTGATGGTTCCTCGAATCAAGCAAGTGTAGGAGTAGGCATTGTAATGTCAACACCCGAAGGCACCAAGCTGCAGCAATCTATCTGTTTGAAGTTCCCAGCTACGAACAATGAGGCCGAGTACGAGGCATTACTTGCTGGTCTTCGATTGGCTAGCAGTATCCAGGTACGTTGCTTAAAGGTTTTTAGTGACTCACAGCTTGTTATAAATTAAGTGATAGGTCAGTACCATCCCAAAAAGGATAGAATGAAAGCATATAAAGAAGCTGTAGAAAACGTTGCACGGGGATTCGATCAGATCAAATTCTATCAGGTACCTCGTGTTGAGAATGCCAAAGCAGATCAATTGGCCATATCAGCGTCATCTTCAAATAAGGATCTGATTTGGATTGTGCCGATTGACGTTCTGGACGAGCCCAACATTAATCCTCCGCAGAAAGTAATGGTGGTTCCAATTATTCTTCGAGAACCATGCTGGATTGATCCATTGGAAGCTTACCTTAAGCATGGAGTTCTTTCAGACCAAAAGTCCGAAGCACGGAAGCTCCGTATCACCGCAGTTAAATACGCCGTCATTAACAATCAGTTATACCGAAAGTCATTTTCAAGTCCTTACCTGAAATGTTTAAGCCATATTGAGGCTCTTGTGGTATTGAGACAAATCCATGACGGAGATTGTGGCAACCATTCTGGGGGCAGATCCGTTACGCATAAAGTCCTGACTCAAGGTTACTTCTGGCTATACTTGGCCCGGAATGCAGAAGAGTATACACGGAGGTGTGACAAATGTCAACGTCACGGTCCCATGAAGCATCAACCTGCCAAAGATTTGCACGCAATGGCAAATCCATGGCCATTCGCACAATGGGGGATTGATATGGTTGGCCCGTTACCCAAGACTGTGGAATAAAAGGAGTACGTGCTACTGGTTACAGATTATTTCACTAAATGGGTTAGGCCTACTCAAGTGTGACCCATAAGCAGGTCAAAAGTTTCCTTTGGAACAACATCATTTGCCGGTTTGGGGTCCCAAAAGTCATTATAATGGACAATGGTAAGAACCTCGATAATAGAAGTACAAGAAAATTCTTTGTTGAGCATAGAATTATACAAAAGTTAGCTGCAGTTAGCCATCCATAAGGGAATGGACAAGCTGAAATAACTAATCGGACAATTTTCAGTTGTTTAAAGAAGAAATTGGAGAAATTCATAACTGTTGCGCATATGAAACAAGCCTAATTGCTGCAGCATCCTTTTTTTCGTCCAGGAGATCGAGGCTATGTTCAAGCTGCTGACTATTGTTTCCTTCAAGCAATAAAAATGTCCGAAGGGTTGGAACTGCCGCTTCGGTTGGGATCATAGCTTCAGATCCATAAGCCATGGCAAAGGGACTCTCTCCGTAGGCCGCCGTAGTGTGGTTCAGTACGCCCAAAGCACCTGAGGAAGATTCTCGTACCATTTCGTTTTGAATTTCTCCAATTTCTTCTTTAAACAACTGAAAATTATCCGATTAGTTATTTCAGCCTATCCATTCCCTTGTGGATGACTAACCGCAACTAACTATTGTATAATTCCATGCTCAGCAAAGAATTTTCTTGTACTTCTATTATCGAGGTTCTTACCATTGTCCATCATAATGACTTTTGGGACCCCAAACCGGCAAATGATGTTGTTCCAAAGGAAACTTTTTACCTGCTCATGGGTCACACTTGAGTAGGCCTCGGCTTCTACCCATTTAGTGAAATAATCTGTAGCCAGTAGCACGTACTCCTTTTGTTCCACAGTCTTGGGTAACGGGCCCACCATATCAATCCTCTATTGTGCGAATGGCCATGGATTTGCCATTGCGTGCAAATCTTCGGCAGGTTGATGCTTCATGGGACCATGACGTTGACATTTATCACACCTCCGTGTATACTCTTCTACATTCCGGGACAAGTACGGCCAGAAGCAACCTTGAGTTAGGACTTTATGTGCGAGGGATCTACCCCCAGAATGGTTACCACAATCTCCGTCATGGATTTGTCTCAACACCACAAGAGCCTCAGTAGGGCTTAAACATTTCAGGTAAGGACCTGAAAATGACTTTCGGTATAACTGATCGTTAATGATGGCGTATTTAGCTGCGGTGATACGGAGCTTCCGTGTTTCGGACTTTTGGTTTGGAAGAACCCCATGCTTGAGGTAAGCTTCTAATGGATCAATCCAGCATGGTTCTCTAGGAATAACTGGAACCACCATTACTTCCTGCGGAGGATTAATGCTGGGCTCGTCCAGAATGTCAATCGGCACAATCCAAATCAGATCATCATTTGAAGATGACGCTGATATGGCCAATTGATCTGCTTTGGCATTCTCAACACGAGGTACCTGATAGAATTCGATCTGATCGAATCCTCGTGCAACGTTCTCTACAGTTTCTTTATATGCTTTCATTCTTTCCTATTTGGGATGGTACTGACCTGTCACTTGATTTATAACAAGCCGTGAGTCACTAAAAACCTTTAAGCAACGTACCTGGAGACTGCTAGCCAACCGAAGACTAGTAAGTAATGCCTCGTACTCGGCCTCATTGTTCGTAGCTGGGAACTTCAAACAGATAGATTGCTGCAGCTTAGTGCCTTCGGGTGTTGACATTACAATGTCTACTCCTACATTTGCTTGATTCAAGGAACCATCGACTCGAAGTTCCCACTTTGGTTCTGGGTGTGTCGGCTCTTCGGGAGTATCTTCATACTCGAGAAGGAAGTCCGCTACGGCTTGTCCTGTATGCGACACCTTTGGCTCATAAGTTATGTCGAAGGAACTAAACTCGATAGTCCACTTGGTAATTCTCCCAGATAAATCAGGCTTAGAGAGTATACCCCGTATAGGATAGTTGGTGAGTATCACAATGCTATAAGATTCAAAATAATGCCGAAGCTTCCTCTTGGCGTAGATCAAAGCTAAGATGACTTTTTCTGCTTTACTATATCGCATCTCCGCATCTGTCATGGTCTTACTTGTGTAGAAGACTGGATATTGCCTCTTTCCTTCTTTTCTAATCAATGCTGCACTTGTCGATGTATTGGAAACTGCCAAATACATAATAAGAACCTCCCCGGGTTTTGGAACGGATAGAATTGGTAGTTTAGCCATGTAACCTTTCAACCGACTGAGGGCCTCCTGCTGCTGAGGTCCCCATATATCTTTATTCTTAGATCGTATAGCTTTATTCTTAGATCGTATAGCATCGAAGAATGGTTTGCACTTATCTAACAATAGGGATATAAACCGGCTGAGTGCTACGATCCGACCAGTAAGAACCTGCACCTCCCTGCGATTTTTTGGTTCTTGATTCTGGATAAGGGCCTTAGCCTGAGCCGGACTTACCTCTATCCCTCTTTTATTCACTATGTGGCTGAGGAATTGACCTGATGATACCGCGAAGGAGCACTTGGATGGATTCAACTTCATGTTGTACTTCTTCAAAGTATTGAAAACTTCCTGAAGATGCTTCGGATTATCTTCTTTCTTCACATTTTTAACCATCATGTCATCTATATATGCTTCAACTGTCTTTCCCAGCAGATTATCGAATATCTTGTTGACAAGGCGTTGATAAGTAGCTCCAGCATTCTTCAGTCCGAAGGGCAAGACCCTATAACAATAAGTCCCCTTTTCTGTAATAAAAGCCATTTTTTCTTCATCTTCGGGGTCCATAGGAATCTGATTGTATCCCGAGTATGCATCTAGGAATGTCAACCTCTCGTAGCCGGTGGTAGCATCAACCATCTGGTCTATCTTGGGCTGAGGGTAGCTATCTTTAGGGCAGGCTTTGTTGAGGTAGGTATAATCTACACAAACCCTCCACTTTCTATTCTTCTTTTGTACGACTACCACGTTCAACAACCACTGCGGATATTGTACTTCTTGAATGAAACCTGCTTGCAACAATTTGTTCACTTCTTCAGCTATAATGTGATTGCGTTCAGGGGCAAACCTTCGGTGTTTCTGCTTGACCGGTTTGAACTCCGAATCCACCTTCAGGCTATGGCAGGAAACTGTGGGATCGATCCCTACCATGTCCGAGTGATCTTATGCAAAGGCATCTGCATTGCACCGGATAACATCAATTAATGCCTCCTTTTCTTCGGACGTGGAAGAAGAGCCTAGATAAGTAACCTTTTGAGGGTCATCGAAGATAACTTCCACGGCTTCGAGGGCCTCCTCGGTGGGCTTCACAATTTCTTCTTCCTTCTTTCCCTTAAGATACTTTGGCAAAGGGCTCTGTAATTGCTATTTGGGTCCAGTTTTGGAAGCCTCACCTGGTTGCTATTGAGTCGACGTCCTCTTCGCCTCAACTTGTGTCAACATATAGCATTCCTTCACTGCGACTTGATCGCCCCATAGATTAATTACTTCTTTCCCGTCCGAAGATAAGCAACGCATCACCTGGTGGAGGGTGAACGGAACTCCTCTCATCCGATGTATCCAGTCTTTTCCCATGATGAGATTGTAAGAAAGATGGATCTCTATTAAAACAAAGTTCTCCTTCAGAGTCCTCTTCGCCGCGGTTACGGACAAGTCTATTACTCCAAGGGGATCTACTCTTATGCCTTCGAATCCCATCAATGGGCTGGAGGTAGGTCGAACAGATGATGACGAGATCTCTAACTGATCAAAGATCGTCTTTATGATTATGTTAGCGCTACTTCCTGGATCTACCAAAACCCTCCTGATCATACAATTGGCCACTAAAAGACTGATGACCAATGGATCCTCGTAGGGGAGTTGCACTCTGGATAGGTCACCATACCCGAATCCAATACTAATGCTACCAGAATTGATAGCATTGACCGAGGATATCTTCCTGAGCTTGTGGGTCACCCTCAATCTGAATCTGTACACCTCCTCGGACTCTTGATCATCTTCAGACCTGTTATGTATTGCATGGATGACTTTTACTTGCGTACCTTCTACCTTGTAGGGATAAACCTCGCGAGGCTTTGCATGTTCTTTTGTCATGAGGTAATCCGTCAACTCACCTCTGGCGATCATATTCTCCACCTGTCGCCTAAGGGATCGGTAATCGTTGGTTGAATGCCCATAATCTCGATGATGAACGCAATGCTTGCTTTTGTCCTTTTGCTCCAAGGGTTGCTTTATTGGCTGCGGAGTTGTGAACTTCATCTTATTCTCTTGGAAGAGCCGAGCCAAGGTAGTTTGGAGAGGTGTAAATCCTTCCTCTACCCTTTGCCTTTTTTCAGGTGCCTGGGTGACCGGCATCGAGGAACGTTGGCTTTTTTGAATCTTTAGAGTTGGGATTTTTTCTCGAGGCTTGTTTTCCACTGTCACGAGGGTAACGTGCTGCGCTCGGTGGGCTATATTTTCCTCAAGCCAAATGTAGATCTGGGCCCTGGCATTTAGAGTCTGCATGTCGGGAAGAGAATACTTGACTAGGGAAGTGTGGAACTTCGTCCCCTGAATCATTGCCAGTTTAAATGTCTCTATAGCAGTTGCGGGATGACAATCCGCTATTTCTGATGCCTCCATGTTGAATCTTGATAAGAAATCCTGCAATGTTTCTCCCATTTTCTGCGTTACGGTGAAGAGGCTGGCAATGCTTTTCTTTTGCTTTTTATTTCCGCAATACTGTGCCAGGAACATGGTGCATAGAGTTACGTAATCCGGGATGGATTTATGCGGTCTATTCCTGAACTACTCTAGTGCTGCTCCTGTCAAACTGGTAGGAAAAACTCTGCACATCTAAGGGTCATTACGATCATCCAAAGCCATCGTTTGAGCATAATGATCTAGGTGCCGAGAAGGATCCCCTGTTCTATCAAACTGGGTTAAAGAAGGCATGGTGAATTTCTTGGGCCTCTCTACCAGATACACATCGTCAGTGAAAGGAGTTTTGATCAAAGAATTTTTGTGTTCTCTAGCCATCTCGGTAGGTGTCTGAATCTTCAGGAGTCTCTTCTCGTTAAAGGCTTCGTGAACACTTGCACCATCTGGGATTCCATTGGACCACACCGTAAGCTTATGGCTGGATTTGACTTGCTCATCCTGCGTGTGACGAGGGACGTTATCTGAAGCCGCAGCCTCGGATCTTGCCTTCCGTTGCTGTTGAACCTCATTCGGTTGTGCCCCATTAGGTGGAACCCCATCAGGCAGAAGTCCAGTAATCGGACGAATATTCTGATTAGGGGGTGCTGCTGTGTCACCCACTGGTGGCGGTGGTGCCAACTAAGCCAGCGTTTTTTGCAGAGCGTTATTCTGCTGTTGAAGCAAGGCGATCTGAGCCACGCTTGCTTCGTTTGCCTGACGAAGTACGTCAAACTGGTGCAGAAACTCTTCCCTCATCTTTTGCATCAACTCCGTCTGTTGATCTACTGAAGATCCTCTGTTCGACATTCTGGATGGTTAGTTGCAGGATTCACTTGTGAAACAAAAACAAGAATGGGAATATATTTGCACACGATTCCCACAGACGGCGCCAAAGTGTAGGTGCAAAATTCTACTCAACCAATAACAATTGAGAAAAATAATACAACACACTCAAGAACAATAAAAATAAATAAGAACAGTGTATAGAGAAGCGTAGAATTGCTTGGATCCCTCTATTGGAGGTCTGGGCTTCTATTTATATACAAAAGTTAGAAGAATTATGGTAGGACTTGCGTTGCTTGTCCTCTAATTCTTTTCATATATCAATTTCTTTACAAATAGAATTCTTTCCTCTTTATAATTCTTCCCTTTCCGGATTTTCCTTACACAGAACTTCCTTTGATGAATCCTTTTCCTTGTAGGACCGGCTCCTTCTTTAAATGGATTTGGGCCGCATCGAACTTGGTACACATGACTGCTGGTGTCTTGATTCGAGCTTTAGTAAAGCCCGTAGTTAGATAACAGTAGTTTTGGGCTAATGACCAACTCAACTTGGGCTTCTGACGAGATGGGCTTTGACCTTTATTGAAGATAAAGTTATATTTATGATGACGTGGATTGCTCTTATTGGAGGGAGATTTTTCCCTCCACAGTGACGTAGCAGTGTTTATAAAAAAAAATTATACATCATAAGTAGCAATGTATATTTTATACAAAAGAGTATTTTAACATACTGCTAGAGATGCTCTTAATTCATTTGATTCAAACGGATATTAGAATTTGGAAGTAATTGTAATGCCTGAAATCTTATATTAGAATTTGGAAGTAATTGTAATGCCTGAAATTTTAGAAAATTAATTTTGTTGGATTTCTATAAGATTTGAAAGCACTCAATTTTTTGACATGATAAATTTGTAATTTACTAAAGAACAATACTTGTCTACTCACCAGTGAGTAGAAAATTCATGCTCATCACGGATGTGGTGCATTACTAAACTGGCAAGTGTCCTTACATTTTAAAAAATAAAAAATAAAAAATTTAATAGTTATCTGATTAAACCCAAATAATTTACACTTTAAAAAATAAAAAATTTAATAGCTATCTGATTAAATTCAAATAAATCTGAATCAAATTATAATTCTCTCTCATCTCTCTCTTTTTCACGTTTGATTATTGCAGTTCTCAAGATGTTTCAATGTCTATTCTATAATAGTCTCATTCCTCATCCATGCATAAATAGAGCCTCATTTAATTTCAAGTTTCAGCTGTCTTTTTTCTCCAACAACTTTATAGAAAGATGGACAAGGGCCTTGAGTGGTATATAAATTCATTTCTTTGTGTATTGGTATTGAGCATGTCAAAGCATCAAATCACATGATAGATTTGTTTTTTATTTTTTATTTTTTTATTTTAAGTTTCCTTAGATTTTATTTTATTTTTCCTAAATGATTTGTTTATTTTTTATTTTTTAAAATGTAAGAACACTTGTCATTTTAGTAATGCGCCACATTAGCGGTGAGTATGAGTTTCCTACTCACCGGTGAGTAGACAAGTATTGTCCTTTACTAAATTGCAATAGTTCCGAGCACAAAAATAAAATTTCTAATTCATATCAATTGTTTTAACTTTTCTAAATCCTATTCTAACAAGAATTTATTAATTCGATCTAGAACTTAACCCGCCAGCACAATTTCAAGAAAGGGGTATGGTGCAATGTATATATAATTATATATTATATTAGAAAATTATTTAAATACGTACGTTAAAAAAAAAAATTAAGGAGTACAAAAAGAAAAATGAGAGAACTTTAAAGGAAAAAAATTAAGAGTTTTAATGGATGAAAGAAATTTTGACTTTTAAATTAATTAATTTGAAGAGCAAATGAGAAAATAAAGAAAATAAAAAGTTATAATTTTAGAAACCACACAATTTAGGAAGATGCAAAATTTAAGGAGTAGAAACAGAAAAAGAAAAATGAGAGAACTTTAAAAGGAAAAAGTTAAGAGTTTTAATGGAGGAATGAAATTTTGACTTTTTTATTTAGAAAATTTAATGAATTTGAAAAGTAAAGAAAAAAATAAAGAGATAATTTTAAAAAACACACAATTTAGGAAGATATTGTATAATTTCTTATATATAGAAAAAAAATAATTAACACATATATTTCGATGGCGGCAAAGGTAAGGGGCAGGTGAACCCCCTAACAGGCCTTGATTGGCTCGTCCTACCTAGCAGTCTAAATTTATTAGAACTCTTTTCTAAATTGATCTGCTAACTCATTAGGCTAGCTTTGTTTCAAAATAGTATAAGACCGCACGTGAATCACCTCTTTATCATTTCGATCTGCTCAAAGTCCAACAATGGGAAACCCATTGCAAAAGCAAGAAACGATGGGAAACCCATTGCAAAAGCATGAGGAATCAACCTTCTTAACTTGCCAGATATGTTTCGAACCCATGTTATCATCAACCAAGAAATTCAATAACAAGAACAGGTGCGTTCATCCATTCTGCACAGATTGCATGATTAAGTACATCGAAGTGAAGGTGAACAACGACGTCGCCGACATCAAGGGTCCGGGGCTGAACTGCGAGCAGCGGTTAGACCCTCTCACTTGCAGGCCGATCATGCCCGCAAAACTGTTCAACCAGTGGTGCGACCGAATCTGCAGTTTTACGGTTTGAAAGATGTTACTGTCCCTATTGGTATTGCTCGGCTCTGATTGTGAACGAGTGTGGAGGGAATGTTAAGAAATCAAAGTGTCCCAATTGCAAGAGGAGGTTCTGTTTCCGCTGCAAGCTTCCATGGCACCCCGGATTGATCGGATTGTTACACTCACAGATTGGTGGCAGATTGAATCTGTAACTCACAGATTGGGCTTTTGTTTAAAATCTGATATAATTCGTGAAATATATATATATATATATATATATATATATATATAATTTTCAAAGAATATATTAGTTAATGATAATTTAATGGGATGTATTAATTAAAAATTATTTAAATAGATTAAAATTTTATCTATTGGGTATGTTTAAAAGATAAATAAATAATAATTATTATAAAAATTGTAATGGATAATTTAGATAAAACCCAATCTGCGGATTCAATCCGATCTGATTCGTTATTACACGGATCCGATCCGATTCGTTATTACACGGATTGGTGACGGATTAAGATTTGTCTAATGATTAGGATTGATATCTAATCCGATCCGATTTGTAGCCACCCCTAATCAAAACTATATGACATTGGCATATAAACATTGGCATCACACCAGATCATTAAACCTCCCGGGCACGGCCCTCTGGCACTCAAACCCTGGTGTCGCACCAGATCACTCAAACCCTAATATTGCACCAAGTCAATAAGCCTAAAGGACCTGACCCTCGAGTCACTCAAACCCTAGCATTGCACCGACCAAGTCTCTAAACCTTAAGGACTTAGCCCTCGAGTCACTCAAACCCTAGCATCGCTCAGGTCTCTAAACTAACCTTCAAGGCCGAGCTTTCAAGTCACTCAAACTCTGGCATCACACTAAGTCTCTATACCTTGAGGGCTTAGCCCTCGAGTCACTCAAACCCTATAATACCCCTAATTTTAAAAAGGATATAATTGAAATTTAATTTTTATTTCTTGTGCATTTTAATGGAATATGTGACTGTGTGCTTACATGGTTTATTTAAATTAATGATTGTATGAAATTATTAATTTATGGTGTGTTTGTAAAACTGTTTAAATTGATTTATTTGTTTTAAATTGAAATTATATGTTTATGTTGTATTTATTTAATTGGTTACTTGAGTAATTATTTGAATTGATATATTTTTTTTAAATTGAAGTTACATGTTTAAATTGATTTAATTGTTTAATTGAAATTAAATGTTTATTTTTATGTCAAGGAGTTGGACTTGGATAGTAGTAATAGACCAACGATTTTGGGTCATATGGTTTACTTAGATAGGGGATTAAATGGGTATAGTTAATACCTATGGATAGTTCTACATATATATTTGGTTATATATGTGTATAGGGGTTAGTTTAATTATTAGTATAGGGGTTAGTTTAATTATTAATTATTATTAATGATTAAATTAGTGTCATTTTTCATTATATGTATAATGTGGTTTTAGGGTTTTATATTTTTATTAAATCACCGACTTATACATATAGTTAGTTTATTTGTTATTTTCTTTTCTTTTGCGGTTGTGTCTCCTCATTAATTAGAATTAGGTTTTCCTATACACCTATAAATATATCGTATTAAGTCTGC